CGTGAAAAGTCCTATCAAGAAGCACTTAAAGTGGGTAAGAATCAATGTGAAACATGGGGATTTACCATTGAAAGAAGAAAAATACGTCCTAAACGAATGCCAGGTGAAAATGTAGCTGATGCTGGATTGACTGCTGAACAGGAAATTTATCGCATCATGAAGGATGTTATTGATCGCTTGATTACAGAAATAACAGGAAGATTTCCTCGCTTACTAGATTTAGATTCACGGTTTGGATTTCTACTAGTTGTGCAAAATATTGTTTCTGGAGATTTCGAAGACGGAAAATTGCAAGAAAAATATTCTGACTTAGCAAGTAGCTATCCAGGTGATATTGATGTACCAGAATTGTACAGAGAAATTAAAGACTGTAGAATGCTGATAAGTAAAAGAACACAGACCGATTTTCCTGAATCAATGGTTGAAACTGATTTGCTAACATTTATAATTTCATATGGTGAAGATGTTTTTCCCAAATTAAAAAATTGCATTGCAGACTTTGTTAACAATTGGGGTTTCTATTACTAGTTGTGAAAGTCCTTCAGCAAGCTGAAATTAATTCTTACATAGTTGAGAACCTCAATGACTCAAGAACGACTTAGTAACTTGACACTATTAAATATTGAAAAAGACGTACTTAATACCTTAAATTTTGATAATTTAATTGATTATTTGTTTGTTTGTTTTTGAATTTCGCGCAAAGCTACACGAGGGCTATCTGCGCTAGCCGTCCCTATTTTAGCAGTGTAAGACTAGAAGGAAGGCAACTAGTCATCACCACCCACCGCCAACTCTTGGGCTACTCTTTTACTAACAAATAGTGGGATTGACCGTCACATTATAACGCCCCCACAGCTGAAAGGGCGAGCATGTTTGGTGTGACGGGGATTCGAACCCGCGACCCGCAGATTGCGAGTCGAGTGCCCTAACCACCTGGCCATGCCAGGCCCAATTTAATTGATGCATTTGCAGCAGCAAAAGCACGAAAGGTTCATATAATGTAACCATGAATACCAGAATGCTACCTGTACAAGAGCTAGTTAAGTATATGCACAGTTTTGTAAACTTAAATAGTATTTTATCAATCTGTTTTATAATCCATGTACACCACAAGTGACTGGCTTCTCATATAAAACATAAGTTTCAAAACTAGGGATATAACAGAAATTTATTCTACATACTTGAAAGATTACTCTAGCTATGTGACTTTGAACAATATTGGATGACATAAATATCAAAATGGTATACAAATTATGTAAGTACACCTAGAAGGCTATACTTCATTAGTTCCAGGTTTACAGTTGTGATATTTTAGGCCTGTGTAAGGCGGTAATTAATTCTTAATGTTGTTGTCATTAAGTGGGTAATGAGTCACAAAACAAATAATCAAAACATTTCAGAGGTGGGGGCGCCAAAAGTGTCTTTGCCCCCGGGTGCTGAGAACCCTTGCTACGCCACTGCTGTTCATGATGTCATATCGAGAGTCCTCGAGCGCCATATTTCTTTGAAATTTGTGCAACTATATAAAATGTATAGATCAGTCTTTGTGAAAGTTATGATATATGTGGTATCTTCAATTTACACTGGCATTAAACAATTCAAAATAATTTTCGGAAACACCTTTATTGCTTTTTAAAGGTAAACAAACCATATGACGACAACATTTTCAGTGTTTATCAATGGCAAGAAAAATCTGAATAGACCTAAATCTAAGTTACTAGTCTAGACTGTAGTAGTTACTACTAGTAGTACTAAATTATAATCTACGTTCTAATATACCAGAAGAAACCTGATGTTACATCCTTCGAACTTTCTAGGCGATCTACGCCCTTTAATTAACAAATAACAATATTGAAAATATGGCTTACAACATTACTAACACATTGTTAGTGCTAGCTTAGCGATTTTACTTACTTTTCAACCCATTAGTAATAATGTCACAAAAACAGAAAATACTGTAGTAGTTAGTCTTCCTACAAGTTAAAGCAACGACTTGAATTTTTTGATTTCCTCTTTTACTTCACTTTAATAAAAAAGACAAAGAAAATGCAATGAAAGAAATTGCCGTCTCTACAACTTATCAATAGTGCCAAACCTCTGCAATTCGATACTTTGAAGATCTGATCAATGTAGAAAAAAAAAGACATTTGCGGTTAATTTGATTTTAAAATAAAATTGTTATTAAATATCAGAAAGATATATATTATTAAAATTCACACAAATTTGTATCGGTTGTAGATAGTAAAACTTTTGTTTATATTATTCACAAGATTTACCTACATGATCAGCCTCAGTTCTTGTATTCCACCAGGTGGGATAAAAACTAGTGTGAAAATTGTTATTGTTCAGTTTGTTTCGCCAGAGGACGCGTTTCTTTATTTATACAGTTGCTGAGCGACATGAACTGAATCGATCTACTGGTAGTTGTAACGATTGTTAATGAGACCCGAAAGGGAAGTTGTAGTTTAACAAAAATAAAACTTGTAATATCTCAAAATTGTATAGTATACTTATTTATGATGGTATTATGATGTTCTAACGTGAAGCGAAATATTCATTTCTGGTAATATAAAGTTATTACTTTGCCTCAGGCCTAAAACGTAAAAGTACAAATTATAAAATGATTTTCAGACTGAATGTATATTTATCTGTATCATATAGCATACGGTAAAAGTTAGTAACAGTTTGATATGTACGTTTGATTTTATCACTTTTC